TCTCTCTTACTATCACACACCGAGACACAAAGCATGCACTCACACACCCGCAACGTGCCCCAAAACACGCACGCACGCACACCTGTCAGCACCGCCGCCAAGACCTCCGCCGCCTCAGCGGGCTCCATCTGGGCCGCCCCCTCCAGCAGCCTGCCGCACAGCCGCGACTGCAGCGGCTCGCCTGCGAGAACAACAAGCGCGAAGCAGGCGGGCGAAAGGGTCATTTGACGACACATGGTTAGCATGAAGGTGTGTGGTCGTGATTGCGACATGACGGCTGCCGCAGGGTCCGACGCGCTGGCCACTGCAGGGGCGGCTGTGTGCGTCCCGGGAAATGCCCTTGCCAGCAACAACTGCTCCGCCCCCCACACAACACACACGCACACACACGCACACACACACACACACACACACACACACACACACACACACACACACACACACACACTGGGACCCGCGCACGTGCCGCCTCAAGCACATCACTTGACACATGGGTCATGCTGTGTAAAACATTGGTGCGGCGATGCACGACGCACCTGGCTGGTACCCCAGAGCCGCAAACGCCCGCGGCAGGCCCGCAGCCTGCGCCGCGTTGAGCGCCGGAAGCTTCTCGGAAGCTCTCACGGCCAGTGCCGGCAGCAGCGACGCGTCCGCGGGCGCACGGGGCCCCCAGCGCGCGAGGGCGGCGAGCGCGGCGCACAGCTCGGAGGCGCTCAGGTCCTGCAGGCGGCGCGACAGCGCCAAGCACAGCAGGCCGTGTAGATCGCCGCCGCCGCTGGCCGCCTGCTCGCCGGACGGGGCTGCGCCGTCGTCGCCGTTCGAACTCGGCGCCGACAGCTGCAGCAGGGTGATCAGGTGATCTGACGGCAGCGCGACCACCTCATCCGCCGGCAGCGCCGCCGCCCACGCGGACAGCCACGGCACGGACGGCAGCGCTGCGGACGCCGCGCCGCGCCCGCCCGAGCCGCCACCGACGCCGCCGCCGGCGACAGACGCGTCGCGCAGAGCAGAGAGGATCGAAAGAACCTCCGCGGAGCCGAGCCCCTGAAGGCGGCTGCCGTCAAGCCCGGCGGCCCCGAATGCGCGCAGCCACGCCGCCGACGGCCGGTGGCCCGACAGCGCGAACCCTCGCAGCAGCAGCGCGGCGCCGGCGCCGTCGAGGGCGGCGAGGCGGGGCGCGGTCGCGGCCTCGAAGGCGGCGAGCTGCGGGGGCAGCCAGCGGCCGCCGAGGCGCGCGCCGGACCAGAGCGCGCGCGCCATGTCGCCCACGGGCATCTGCCCCTGCTGCTGCTGCTGCTGCTGCTGCTGCGACGCCTCCCCGGCCGCAGCGGTGTCGGCGGCGACGGCGGCCGCCACCGACGCGTACAGCCGCCGCATCAGCTCGTCCCTCGCGCTGTTGGCGAGCCGCAGCTCAACCACAGCCGCCGCCCACGCAAGCCGCGGCAGCCCGCCGCCCCCGGGCGCGGCCGCGGCGGCGGCGAGCGCGGACGGGTTGGCGGAGGCGGCGCGGGATATGTCATCCAACAGGCCGCCTGGGGCGGAGAAGCCGGCGCCGCCGGCGGCCGGCGGGGGCTTGGCGTTCGCCAGCAGACCGACCAGCCGGACCAGGCGCCCCGCGCCGAGCGCGCCGACCTGGCGCGAGCAGCGCGCGCACAGCGCCCTCAGCGCCGCCGGCGCGGCCGGCGGCGGCGCGACCGCGGATGAGCCCGCTGCAACCACGGCCCGCATCGCCTGCAGGCCCCACACCAAGTCCAGGGCATCCCCTGCCGATGCGCCGGCCAGCGGGTCGTCTTTCACAGGCGCAGCCGCAGCTGCGCCCGCAGCCTCGCCCTCGCCGGCGCCGCCCTCGTCCTGCGCCGGCGCCGGCGCGGGGGCGGCGGCAGCTGCCACGCGCCCGCCCAGCGCCGCGGCCTCGAAAGCGTCCAGCCACTCGGCCGATGGGGCGTAACCCAGTGTCGCCAGCGCCCACGCGGCGCGGCAGCGGAGGGGGGGCGCCATCGCCGGCGCCCTGCGGGGCGGGAGGGGCGGGGTTGGAGTGCCGGCGCGGGGAGGGCGGTCAGGGGTGGGCCAGCGGTGTGCAAAAGCGTCCGTTATGAATACCAAGCATGAGCCGGAGGGAGCGGCGAATTTACGTCTCAAGGCGCTGCGGGCCCCGCTTAGATTTATGAGGTGCGAGAATTGAAGCAGGATCTATGCCGGAGTGACGGCCGACGCAGGACGGGGCTGATCTGGCGGACGCGTCGGCGTCGTGCTCGATCGTCCGAGGTATGATCTCGCCCACCTCTGCAGAACCTCGGACGCGCACTCCTCCAGCCACCCCGCGCCCGGCGCCGCCGCCCCGACCGCCGCCAGCGCGGCCGGCGCGCCCGCGAGCGCCGCGTCCGACAGCCGCCCCCATCGGCCGCCGGCGTCCGCGCAGAAGCGCGCCAGCAGCGGCGCCGGCGGCGCGACCTCGAACGCGGCCATCAGGCGGACAACCGCCGCCACCTCAGCATCGCAG